CACTTATATTCTCACTAAAATATTTTGCTTAAGATTGCAAAGGACTCTCAAGTGAATGGAATTCTATACTTGCTATTCAATCTTACTATGTAAATATGAAACATTTAATATTAATTTATCACCAAATTTGCTACATGGATCATTCTGCTACAGATCTTTAAACCAGGAACCTTGTTCAGAAGTGCTTAAGTAAAATAAATTGGTAAAAATTTGGGTTAGAATTTGTAATTTTAAATCAAATTAGGAAGTTAAAAGTTCAACATTAAGCACTTTAATGGGAATAGAAAGTGGTTTTGTAGCTTTTATTATTTCACCTGCAAACATTTAAATAAGCTTTAACTAAGAGATTGTTTTCTATAGTAATCTAAAAAGCATTCTAAGTACTAAAATAAGCAACACAATAATCAATTTAGAAGACTACTGATATGCGGATGAAAATTTTTGGGATGTGTTTATTAGAATTTACTGTAACCTTTCTTTTTTTTTTAAATGCCATACTTACTTTTCTTTTCTCTTCCCCCCACCCCTGTAATATAAACACACCTTAAAATAAGTAGTAGGTTAAGAACAGTTAAGTCCTAAGGAGTTTAGCAAATAGCTATTAGTATATCATTGAGACCAAAGGAGCAAAGCAAGGTGTTTTTTTTAATCATTCAAGACACAATTTACTTTGTTAGAAATGACAGTTATAGTTGATAGTTTTACGTTGTGGAACCTGACCAATACTACTGGTTTGTATTTTGGGAGGAAAAAAAGGAATTCTGTTTAAGTAGTTCACATATAGGTTTTTTATTGTTTCCTCACATACAGGTTTGTTTCAAACTTCTAAACTTCAACCAATAAGTTGTCTAAATTTCTTTTTGGAAATACTCTATTCTGATGTCTTTGAAGTAATCTACTTTCATCTGTCTCAGTATCTTACCTGGTAGGTTCTCAGCCTTAATCTCCTCTAGTGCAAAAATCCTAATTCTGCTAGCCTATGAGAAGCATACAACTGGAAACCATGACATTTTCATCATATGTCAGGCATTAAGATCTATTCTAATGAAAGGGTAATATGCTAATTAGACCGGATAGACCAAACGTCTTCCGGACATCATTCCGGACATCCTTCCTGACAAAGCTGGGGGTGTGGCCGGCCTGCAAACTGCCTGTGACCCCTCGCCCAGCCTGGCCGTGCTCCCCAGCGGGAACCCCCCACTCGGTCCAGGGCCCACTTCAGGGCAGGTCAGCTGGCCCCCACCCGTGCACCAGGCCTCTATCCTATATAATAAAAGGGTAATATGCAAATTGACCCTAATGGCAGAATGACTGCTGGACCTCACTATGAGGCGCACTGACCACCTCTTGGTCCCTTTCCCCAGCCAGCAGGCTCCAATCGCCTGATGGCCACCCGCAGCAGAGGTGGGGCCAGTGAGTGGGTGGGAACAGCTGACCCCTTGGTCCCTTCCCTGGACTGTCAGGCACCAATCACCCGATGGCGAATGGAGAATGGGGTGGGGCCGGCTGCGGGCAGCTGGGGAAGATGGCCCTGATCGCAGGTCAGGCCTAGGGACTGTACCCGTGCATGAATTTCATGCGCCAGGCCTTTAGTAACTCCATAAATGTCTAACCCCACTAAGCTGTACACCTGAAACTAATATAAAATAATATTGAATGTCAACTGTAATTGAAAAAAAAAAGATATCTCCATGTGCTCTACTTGGATGTTTAACCATCACCTCTAGACTCTGAATGTTCAAAATCAAATTCATTCTTTCATTAAAGCTGATTTCTCTTCCTAACTACTTTTTCTCACACAGTTCATGGTCCTCTTAACTCTTTCAGTTCCTACACATGCTATGCTACTGCACATCTCCCTGCCTTTTGCGATTCTATTCCTTCTAGCTAGAATTTTCTCCTTCAGATGAGAGCCAAATGCTTCTTTGTGAAACCTGTTAAGACATCTTTTTATCCCCAGGTGTATCCCAAAGAAGATGTGTTTAATAACTGTTAGAGCATTTGGGAAGACATATAATTTATTGTTTAAATTGTGAGTCAGCAAACCATGGGCCACAGGCCAAATCAAGCCACCAATTACAGAAAAAAAAAAATGCACACACCCTTTGCTCTAAATGAGCATTTGTTAAACCATGGTCCATCAGTTTTGCCCATGTTTCGAGTATCAGGCCAGCATATATAGCCTATTCAAATAAGAATACTAGCATGTTTTTTAAAGCCTAAGCTTTTTATATTTTCATAACCAGAGCAAGAGATATGCGGTGAACTTTTCATTAAGTCTACTTTAATTCCTTTCTACATTAGCGTATTGTATTTTTAATTTGTAGCAATTGGAACTTAGAGACAAGGCATTAGGTAGTTAACTTTAAATTTTTTTTGTGCTCCTGAATTTTCTGAAATCTTTAATGCTGGAGCATTTGATGTAAACCTTTTTCTGTGGCTAAAACTGGAATCTTCCTTGTTCGCCTAACTTTATCAACACTGATAATTTCCTATAACTTTACAAGAATAAAGTAATGTTTCAATTATATTCTCTGCTACTTCTTCCCTCAAAAAGATTTTTCGCTTTTATTGGCCAAGAAAAAGAATATTCCATTTCCCTCTATTTAGATCATATTATTAAGTAATATTTAGAAAATTCAAAGTAATGTTTTAAAACTCATTTCAATCTTTTCCTTACCACTTACTGGTAACAAAGGAAGGTTGAAATGCAACAGATGATGAATAGAATGAATGATTGTAGACTTATCTTGTATCCCTATACATTCCCCTCTGCATAAAATCTCATGCACAGCTGTACACCTTCTCCTCAGCCAGAATTTTAGTTACAGTGTTCATCCACAAGTTCCTACAGTCACTTAAAGGGAAAAATTGAAAAAAGAAAGAAGTAGCAATGGAAATAGTTATGGGACCTAAAGCTTATAGTGGGATAAATGTAGAAAATATTGCAATTAAGGTTTGGAAGTGATAAAAGATGCTAAATAATAATAATAATCCCAATATTAATAATTGTTCCCTAAAGCTGAGAGCTGATGCTATAATCCTAGCTTTGTTATAAAGTTAATTATAGAGCTAAGGTTATGTTCCTCACATATCAGAAAAGTATAACCTTCATCAAGTCAAAAGACAAGAATATATATATATATATATATATGTGTGTGTAAAATCAATTATATATGTGTGTATATATATACACACACACATATATATATATATATATTTAAAAAAATATTGTTCAAAATAGGTTAAATGGACACACATAACTCAAGAATCTGGCAGTATTTACCACAATTATAAATGAACTCTTCCTTTAACCTAGCAAGCTTACTCTGATGCTTTGTGTTACAGATACAATGACACATTATGAAATTACATGTTCAAGTTTATTTGGTGCAGTATTGTTTATAATAGCAAAAGATTAGACACAGTCCAAGTATTCAGCAACAAAGGACTGGATCATAAAATCAGAAAGACATTGGAAGTTAGGCTAGATGAAAACATGTCATTTTACTTGCTATTTTCTACAAAATAATATTGAAAATGCAGGGAAAGGATAACCTAAAAGTTGCTATTAAGGGATAGCAGATGAGAAATAGATACCCATGACTAAATCTTAGTATGTTGTAAAATATACTTTATTTTTTAATACATAAAAAATGTGTAAGAGCTTGCATAGATTGCCTTGTTTTGATCCCCATTTAATTCATAATCCCATGTAAGCTGAACATAATACTATGGGTGCTCAGGCACCTAATCTCCTGGGTGAGAACTACTCTAATAGATTCTTACAGTTTGTTTCTTCATCTCTGAGGTAAAGGTGGGTTGATTAGGACAAAAGTTAATTGCTACATTTTTAATAAAAATTTATTACTATAGAGGAACAGCATTTTAATTTGTATTTATTATTTGTAACCTGCAACATCTTTAAAAAGATTCAAGATGGTAAATAGGGATACTTGAGAACTTGTTCTCTGATGAGGTTTGTCTAAGTGAACACAATATAGACAAAGCCTGAAACTAAAGCTGTGAATACAGGAAAACTTCTGGAGCCTAGAGTCTGGGTTCATGTCAGTTAAATAGTAGAATTTCCTAACAGTTTAAATATGTGGAGTAAAGGTTTGTGAAGAATCCAAGATAACACTGAATACTGTCTTTATTTATCATCTATCTATATATAAAAGCCTAATATAATATGCAAAGTGTCCCCTCGGGAGTTTGACTGGGAAACTGGGAGTTCGATTGCTTGCTATGACATGGACTGACCACCCAGGGCGTGGTGCAGAATGAAGGGAGGCCCCATCTGGCGGCCGGGCAGCAGCTGCTAGGGACCCTACCTATGCATGAATTTTGTGCACTGGGCCTCTAGTAAATTATAATATGGATTACTGTGTAAAGAAATGAGTTATGATAGAGAATGAGTTTTATGGGGAAAAATACTAGTCATTTTGCCTTTCCAGTATTTCCTTGCAGTTAAGAAAATTTAAAATTCTGGACATGCAGAACTTGATGATCTGTGGCTAGGTTTGATATAGCATGCTCCCTAAAGTAATCAATTTCAATGCATTGCTATGTAATTGTTTTCTAGCATGTACCTCTGGATTTAATTTTCAAATATTTGAAAGCTAGACTATATTTTAAGTTATATTTAAGTAATATTTCTTCTTGTTTGGACTATAATGTTAAGCAAATGTATAAGTCATTAATTTTTACAGACTGCATTTTTATAGTAATTACCTATATAATATTAGACTTTAAGTGTTTTTATAAAAAGCTTTGAATGTCATTCTCAGAACAGTTCTCTAATGTTGAAGGATTATTCCCATTTTTTAAGGCCCAGAGATTTTGTGATTTATTTAGTCACCACTCTATGATATAAATATAACTTGAAGTCTTCTGCCTCCAAATGCCATCATTTCTTTGTCCTATCTTAGTATTTGTTCTCTTCATTTTTAATGTCCTGGTACTATAACTAGTGAATAGAATGCTGTTTATCTTTTCAGGATATGGCTTTGGTTGCCCCTGAGGCTCCTTCAGAACAAGCCAGGCGAGTTTTTCAAACCTATGACCCAGAAGGTAAAATATTTTATTATTTTATTAACATTGACTCCGTGTTTTATATCTTTATACACTTGAAATAGGTTGATATTTACCTGAGTTCTAGTCACAAGAGTTGTTGGGTTATTGAATGAAACATAGGTTGCATTTCTTCAGCATTTTAAATGGGAAATGTGAAAATGGAAACAAAACGGGATACCTAAGGGCTCATCAAGTTCTGACATGGTATGAGGTTTGCGTGTTTCTCGGGGTACTGAATTATGGCTACTTGAATCTTCATTCCTTATACTCAGTGTCAAATGGGAAAATACCACCTTCTGAAAAAGCTCTTTGAAAAGTTAAGTCATTTCCATGCTTTTTCATTTACTTATTAAACAGCTGTTCCAGAATATTTTTATGTGAGATATAATTGACATGTAACAGTCTGTAAGTGCAAGGTATACAATGTGTTGCTTTTACATACTTACATAGTACAAAATCATTGCTACAGTAGTGTTAGCTAACACCACTATAATATCACATAATAATCTTTCTTTTTCATAGTGAGAATAATTAAGTTCTATTCTCTTAGCAACTTTGAAATTTATAAAACTGTATTGTTAACCATAATAACTATGCTGTGTATTAGCTCTCCAGAACTTATTTCTTGATTAGTTGCAAGTTTCTACTTTCAAACAACATTCCAATCTCCCTCAGGCCCTGGTAACCACCATTCTACTACTTTTACAAATTCAGCTCTTTTAGAATTCTACATATAAGTATAGGATTTGTCTTTCTCTATCTAACTTCTTTCAATTATTATAATGCCCTCAAATTCCATTTATGTTACAAAAGGCAAGATTTTCTTATTCCTCCTGCCTGAATAATGTGTGTGTGTGTGTGCGTGCGCGTGTGTGCGTGTGCGTGTGTGTAATCCATTTCTTTATCCATTTATCTGTTGATGGACACTTAAGTTGTTTTTATATCTGGGCTATCATAATGCTGTAGTGACTATGGGCGTGCACAGATCTCTTTAAACTACAGATTTGAAGTCCTTCAGATATATACCTAGGAGTTCAATTTTTGAGAAACCTTATACTGTTTTCTTTAATGGGTGTACTATTTTACATCCCCACCAATAGTGTATAAGGGTTCTCTTTTTCTATACATCCTTACCAACATTTATCTTATATTTCTGATAAAAGCTATCCTAATTGTTCTAACAGGTGAGGACTGATACCTCACTGTGATTTTGATTTGCCTTTTCACGATAATTAGTGATATTGAGCATCTTTCCATAAACCTATAGGCCATTAGTATGTCTCCTTTTTTTTTTAAGATTTAATGAGCACCTCTTTTTTTTCGAATTTATCTTTATTATTAAAAGTATTAAAGATGTCCCTTCCCCCCACCCTCATTAATCCTCTTTTTTCCATCCTGCTCCAGTCCCCTCCCCAGGCCTTCCCCCACACTATTGTTTATCCATGGGCTATGCGTATATGCATGTTAGTTCATTGGTTAATCTCATACTCCTCACTCCCCTTCCCTCTGAAATATCTGAGTCTGTTGCATGCTTTAATGTCTCTGGATCTATTTTGTTCATTAGTTTATTTTGTTAATTAGATTCCACATATACGTGAGATCATGTGATACTTGTTTTTCTCTGACTGGCTTATTTCAGTTAGTGTAATACTCTCCAGGTCCCTCCATTCTGTCTCAAAGGGTAAGAAATCCTTCTCTCTCTCTCTATTTCTCTCTCTCTCTCTCTCTCTCTCATTTTACAGCTGCATAGTATTCCATGGTATAAATGTACCTCTGTTTTTTAGTGCATTCACCCATTGATGGGCACTTGGGTTGTTTCCAGAATTTAGCTACTTTAAATAACACTGCTCTGAACATTGGGGTGCATATATTCTTTCTGATTGGTGTTACTGGCATCGTAGGATATATTCCTAGAAATTGGATCACTGGGTCAAATGGCAGTTCCACTTTTAATTTTTTGAGGAAAATCCACACTGTTTTCCATAGTGGTTGTACCAGTCTGCATTCCCACCAGCAGTGTACTAGGATTCCTTTTTCTCCACAGCCTCACCAGTACTTGTTTGTTGATTTGTTGATGGTAGTCATTCTGGCAGGTGTGAGATGGTACCTCATTGTTGTTTTAATTTGCATTTCTCTGATAATTAGTGACTTAGAGCATTTTTTTCAGATATTTCTTGGCCATCTGTATGTCCTCTTTAAAGAAGTGTCTATTCAGGTTCTTCTCCATTTTTAAATAGGATTGCTTGTTGTTGTTTTGGTGTTGAGTTTTATGAGTTCTTATAAATTTTGGATATTAACCCCCTTTTAGATGTAGCATTGGTGGGTGTCTTCTCCCATTCAGTAGGTTGTCTTTTCATTTAGTTGTCTAATTTGGCGAATGCGTCCTCCCATACAGTAGGTTCCCTTTTCATTTTGAGGCTGGTTTCTTTTGCTGTGCAAAAGCTTTTTATTTTGATGTAGTCCCATTTGTTTATTTTTCCCTTTGTTTCTCTCTTTTTTTTATAGTTTTTAATATATTTTATTGATTTTTTTACAGAGAGGAAGGGAGAGAGATAGTTAGAAACGTTGATGAGAGAGAAACATCGATCAGCTGCCTCCTGCACATCTCCTACTGGAGATGTGCCCGCAACCCAGGCACATGCCCCCGACCGGAATCGAACCTGGGACCCTTCAGTCCGCAGGCCGACGCTCCATCCACTGAGCCAAACCGGTTTCGGCCCCTTTGTTTCTCTTGACTTAGGTGATGTATCTGTGAAAATTCTGTTATGTGAGGTATCTGATATTTTGCCTGCCTATGCTTTTTTCTAGCATTTTTATGGTTTCATGACTTCCATTTAAGTCTTTTATCCATTTTGAGTTTGTTCTCGTGTGTGGTGTAAGTTGGTGGTCTAGTTTCAGGTTTTTTTTTTGTTTGTTTTGTTTTTTGCATATACCTGCCCAATTTTCCCATCACCATTTATTGAACAGACTGTCTCTATTCTGTTCCATTGACATATGTGTGTTTATACCAATACTATTCTGTTTTGATTATTATAGGTCTGTAATATAGTTCGAAAACAGGGAATGTGATGCCTCAAGCTTTGTTCTTCTTTCTCAATATTACTTTGGATATTTGGGGTCTTTTGTGGTACCATACAAATGTTAGGATTGCTTGTTTTAGTTCTGTGAAAAATGCCTTGGATCTTTATAGGGATTGCATTGAATCTGGAGATCTCTTTGGGTAGTATGAACATTTTAACACACTTAAATCTTTCAGTCCATGAACTTTCCATTTATTTGTGTCTTCTTCAATTACTTTTATCAGTGTTGCATAGTTTTTAGTGTCCAGGTCTTTTATTCCCTTGGCTGGCTTTATTCCTAGATATTTTATTCTTTTTTAAACAATGGTAAATGGGATAGATTTTTATTTCTCTCTGATAGTTTATCAGTTTATAGAAATGCAAGAGATATTTGTATATTGATCTTATATACTGCAAGTTTTGAATTTGTTTATTCTAAAAGGTGGTGTTTTTTTTTTGTTTGTTTTTTTGGTAGAGTCTTCAGGCCTTCCTATCTATAATAATAAAAGCTTAATATGTTAATTAGACCAGACATCCTTCTGGACGACCTTCCGGACAAAGCCAGGGCTGTGAGGGAAGCCTGGGTCCCACGTGCCTACTGGGGGCTGGAGGGAAGCCTGGGTCCTAGGTGCCTGCTGGCAGCTGGAGTAAAGCCTGGGTCCCGGGTGCCAGAGGGAAATCCGGGTCCCAGGTGCCAGAGGGAAGCTGGTGCCAGCAGCTGAGGGAAGGAAGGCCTATTCTTGCATGAATTTTGTGCATCGGGCCTCTAATATATGATATTACTAGAGGCACGGTGCACGAATTTGTGCATGGGTGAGGTCTGGCTGGCCCACTCTGCTGGGGGCCAATTGGGGCCAGACCAGTGGGGGAGAGGGGCCATGGGCCATTGGCCAGTCAACCTCACCCCTGATCGGGTTGGGGGGGCAATAGAGGGTTGGGCCGGCAGGGGCCACGGGTGGTGGGCCGGCCGGCCCTGCCACCCAATCTGGGTGGGGGAGCTGATCGGGGGCTGGGCCTGCTGGGGGGAAATGCCGCAGGAGGTTGGGGGTGCTGATAGAGGCCCTGATTGGGACAGTTGGCTGCCACAGTGCACATCATAGTGACTGGTTGTCCTGGTTGTTCCATTGTTCTGGTCACTTGGCTTTTATATATATAGACTAGTGTCCCAGTACACAAATTCATGCACATTAAAAGGGGATTAACTAGAGGAAATATTTTAATATTGCTATTTGTCCTTCCTCTATAATAGAAGTGTCAGAGATGAAAGAAAATTAGTAAAATGTATATGAAAATCTTCCTCCTGTCAGAGTCTGGGGTGCACCAGGGGACCCAGAGTCAAGTCCCTGCCCATCCAAATTTGCCTCAAAATTGCACGAGTTCCAGACCCGGCCAGCCCCCTTGCCCATTGGGCTAGATCCAGACCCTGCTGGTCTCACCCTTGTCAAGCCCCGTTGGGCGGGGGGCATGGCCTGAGGTTCCTCGGCCTGGTGCCAGGGCAGGGGGAGCATCCTGAGGTCCCTGGCCCAGCACTGGTGTGGGGGGCACACCTTGAGGTCCCCCATCAAGCTCCTCCGGGCGGGGGGTATAGCCTGAGGTCCCCAGCCTGGCGCCGGGGTGGGGGGATGGCCTCAGGTATCCTGCCCAATTTCAGGGCAGGGAGTGTGGCCTTAGGTCCCCTGTCAAGCCCTGCTCGCCTGGGGGGGCATGGCCTGAGGTCCCCTGGTCTGGTGCCAAGGTGGGGGGTGCAGCCTGAGGTCCCCCATCAAGCCCTGCCGGATGGAGGGGCAAGGCCTGAAGTCCGCTGTCAAGCCTTGCCGGGTGGGGGGCATGGCCTGTGGTCCCCTGTCAAACCCTGCTGGGGGGCATGGCTTGAGGTCCCCTGGCTTGGCGCCAAGGTGGGGGGCGCAGCCTGAGGTGCCCTGGCCTGGCGCTGGGGTG